GCTGAACCTGGGGGTCCTTCGCCTGGGGGTGCTGCGTCTGGAGCTGCTGAGCCTTGGGGTGCTGAGTCTGGAGCTAGTGCGCCTGGGGGTGCGGAGCCCGCGGCCGCTGGACCTGCTTGTGTGGCGTCTTGTGGTGCTGCGCCTGGTGGTTCTCCAGGTGCTTCGTCTCGGCGGGAGCCACTCTCTCCACAGCAGCTGCGCGAGTGGTTTGCCCGGCACTGGAGGCGTAATACTGGAGCTGGTGCTTCTTCGCCTGCTGAGGGTGCTGGTGCCGCCGGTCTCGGAGGTGCTAGTCTTGCGAGTGCTACTGGAGTCGGAGCTGCTGAGGGTGTTGGCGCTGAGGCTACTGCTGTCAGTCCTGGCGGCGGTCCTGCTGCGGGTGCTGCTGGTGCTGCTGGAGGTACTGGAGCTGGAGGTGCTGTTGACGCTGGTGCTGCCGCTGGGGGTGCTGGTGCTGTCCCTGCTGTGTCTGGAGTCGCCGCGCGGCCTCGGCCGTACTTTGTTCCGCTCCTTCAGCAGGTTCTTGGTCTTCCTCCTCCCTTAGAGTGTCCACCGCCTGTCCAGTCACAGTCACAGTTACCGCCGGCCTCCCCACTGCCTTCTCCTTCTCCGTACACTGGTCCTACTAGAGGTCTTGCTGAGCTTCGTGAGCCTGCGTCTCGTCCTACGTCGCCTGTTCGTGCTGCTCGCACTAGTGGTCGCAGTTCACGTCAGCGTCCTCCTCCTGTCCCTGGCACGCATCGGATGTCTCTGCGTCCGTCCACTGCTCCTCTGCGTGCCCCTTTGCCCTCTCCTCCTGAGTCCTCTCTTCCTGCGCTTGCCGACCCTGAGTCGGACTCTCTTCGTGCTGCCAAACCTACTGTCACGCGTCTCCTTGCTACTGTCGTCACTGACCCCTCCTTTGAGTCCACTGCTGCGTCTACTCTTGTTGCTGAGCTCGTCGACTTTGCTGCTCGCTGTCGTCTAGACTACGCTGCTAGTCTTGTTGCTGAGTCTGCGTCTGTCTGTCCTCCGTCCGTCGGGGGTGAGTGTGCTCTTGGCATGGACGTCCTTGAGGACAGGCAGGAGGAGTTTCAGTGTCTGGCTGCTGCTTCACCTCATCTCGCGTCCGTACTGCTTACCCCTGAGGGAGACCCGGATGCACTAGACATCCCGACTCCGCGCTCTTACGCGGAGGCCGTAGAGGGTCCCTACTCCTCTCAGTGGCAGGCAGCTATGGATGCAGAGATGGCTTCCTGGAAGTCCACAGGCACCTACGTTGACGCGGTTCCCCCTCCTGGGGCGAACATCGTCAGTGGCATGTGGATCTTCAGGGTGAAACGGCCGCCGGGCTCTCCACCTGTCTTCAAGGCGCGGTACGTGGCTCGTGGCTTTAGTCAGCGGTAGGGAGTTGACTACTTTCAGACCTTCTCTCCCACCCCGAAGATGACCACTCTTCGGGTGCTGCTACACATAGCCGCTCAGCGTGACTACGAGCTTCACTCTCTTGACTTCAGCACTGCTTTCCTGCAGTGTAGCCTGCACGAGGAGATCTGGTTGCGCCGTGCACCTGGCTTCACTGGGACTTTCCCTCCTGGCACCCAGTGGAGCCTCCGATGGCCAGTCTACGGTCTCCGCCAGGCACCGCGTGAGTGGCACGACACACTGAGGACTACACTTGCGGCTCTTGGGTTTGCTCCCTCTACTTCTGACCCGTCGCTGTTTCTACGCACCGACACCTCTCTGCGGCCGTTCTACATCCTCGTGTACGTCGACGACTTGGTCTTTGCCACAGCTGACACTGCTGGACTCGCCCACGTGAAGTCCGAGCTGCAGAAGAGACACACGTGCACAGACCTGGGTGAACTGCGCAGCTACCTTGGCTTGCACATAACCCGGGACAGAGCACGCCGCACCATCACCCTGACTCAGTCACACATGGTGCAGCAGGTCCTTCAGCGCTTCGGCTTCACGTACTCCTCGCCTCAGGCCACTCCTCTGTCTACTCGCCACTCGCTCTCAGCTCTGCCTTCGGATGAGTCCGTAGAGTCGAGTGGCCCGTACCCATAGCTTGTTGGCTGCCTCATGTACTTGATGACCTGCACACGACCTGACCTTGCATACCCTCTTAGCATTCTTGCACGCTTTGTTGCTCCTGGGAGACACAGACCAGAGCACATGGTTGCAGCGAAGAGGGTGTTGCGCTACTTGTGCAGTACGTCGGGCATGGGGCTAGTGCTTGGAGGGCGGAGTCCAGTGGTGCTCACTGGGCACGCGGACGCTTCTTGGGCAGACGACCAGGCTACGCAGCGGTTGTCACAGGGTTACACCTTCAGCCTTGGTTCCGGCTCTGTTTCGTGGCGGGCTACTCGCTCGTCTTCTGTTCTCGGCTCCAGTTGTGAGGCTGAGATCTACGCCGGGGCCATGGCTGCACAGGAGCTTCGCTGGCTTTCCTACCTGCTGACTGACCTCGGAGAGCCGCCTCGTTCTCCTCTGGTGCTGTACGTAGACAACAAGGCCATGCTAGCCTTGTGTCGGGAGCAGCGCCTGGAGCACAGAACAAAGCACATTGCTCTCCGCTACTTTCTTGCTCGTGAGTTGCAGCAGCGTGGTCAGTTACGACTTGCGTACGTGGCCTCTGAGGCCAACACTGCTGATGTTTTCACCAAGGCACTTCTGCCTTGTGATCATCAGCGCTTCTGCACTCAGCTGGGTCTTGTGCCTATCTTGCCTCACTTGCTCACCTCTTGATCTTGCTTGTACTCTTACATATATATATACCTGCTCTTGCTTGTTTAGTCTTATATATATATGTGCACTCCTGCATGTGAACTGGCCTTGTGGCTTTGACCTTGTGCTCGGACTGTGTGGTGACGTTGTGATCCACCCTGAGCTTTGCCTTGCTGTGCTTGACTGGTCTTGTGACCCCTTGTTCTCTCCCACTTTGCCTATGGGGGTGTGTCAAATTATAATATTGTGTAGGCTATAGTGGGGTAGTCTATATGGGGTACACATTTCTAGGGTTGCATATTTGTATCACTCTCATTCCTTAGTCAATTCATTCTCGTTCTACTTTCCTCACAATTCTGAATTCTCAATGTTTTTTTTCCAATTTTTTTTGTGGAAACTCTTGCCAAATTTCTTTGTGAAAACAACAAGTAGTAAGAACTCTGCTGGAGCACTACGATCACCCGCACAACCCCGTGCCCTCCTCCGTAGTCCACTCCCATTGTAGGGCGACACTCCGCATTGGGCAGGGCGGCGCGCGGGCTGCAGGACAGGTCAGCGCGCAGGCTGCAGGGCAGGGCAGTGCGCGGGCTGCAGGGCAGGGCGGCGCGCGGGCTGCAGGGCTGCACGGGCAGGGCAGCGCGCGGGCTGCAGGGCGTGCGGGCAGCAGGGCAAGGCAGCGCGCGGGCTGCAGGGCGTGCGGGCAGCAGGGCAGGGCAGCGCGCGGGCTGCAGGGCAGGGTTGCAAGCGGGCAGGTTGCGGGCAGCTGCGCGCGCGGGTAGTGCCTAGGGCAGCGCCCAAGCCAGGGCAGGGCAGCGTGCAGGACGCTGTGAGGGCAGGGCATTTACGATCAGGCAGGGCCGGGCCCGAAAAAACGGGTAGTTCGTACGGTTGGTGGGCCCTAACAGAGCGTTCCTACGGAGGGACCTGCTCTGAATACCATTTCAGATATAGCATGCAAGAATGGTGGACTAGAAGCATGAGATGAGTACAAGTACTAGGTCTAATCCTAGAATGTTGTACTAAGTAGAGGCTACCCCGCTACAGCCTTAAGATATACAAATACAGTTTCACAGGGGGTAGTGCAAGGAAGTTTCTCGACATTCCTTACTGCACACAACAACGCGTACAAGACCAATTGTTTCTTCTCCCGTTTTTGCTTAGTGGTTTCGCAAGTCACTTTTGCCAAGCCCGCACTGCTACGGTTGACCTACGCTTCGGGACTAGCCCGAACCTCGCTGCCAGCATTGCACTAGCTCGTTCACACGCACTACGTTACCATTTGCTTACTTTCGCAATAAGAGTCCGATCACATGTTCGCTCACATTGTACGTACTCGTTTGATTTTTTAGTGTAACCTTCACTTGCTCGTTCGATTGCACCCGTAACATGTTGTAATAGAACTCCAATTTCTAATTCGCTCCTATCAAACCCTCAATTGCACAATGGGGGCAAAGCAATTCATGGAACAAAAAAGGATACGACAAATTATGGGACTTAGTGGAAATAATAAAGTTAGATTCCAACCATTATGCGCTGCTCTTCTGTACAAAAACAAGCTTGTTTATTGCAACAAGTGCAATAAGCAGAGTTTATGGTCACTTGCATACAACAGTTCAGTTATGTCAAGGTAGTCTCCTGTGCTTGCGTTGCCTTTGTCACAATCTCCCCTGCTGCCGCCGCCGCTGCCGCTGCTGTTGCTGCTGCTGCTGCTACTGGTGGTGGTGGTGGAGTGGACTCACATGAGGCCAAGGGCAGAGAGCTCTTGCACCAAGTCTGGAGGCAGGGGCTTGGGGTCAGCGCATCTGCTCAAGTCTACCACCACGAATTCCTGCCGCAGGGAGAGCGAATGGGAGGTGCCATGGGTGGAGCGAGCGATGCGCGAGGGAGGGAGTGAAGAGAGGAGAGAGTGAGGAGTGGGGGAGTAGGGAAGGGGGAGGAGGGGGGAGGTGAGTCGACTCAAAACTCGCGAGGGAGGGAGTGAAGGAAGGAGAGAGTGACGAGTGGGGGATAGGGAAGGGGAAGGAGAGAAGAGGAGGGAGGGGAGGGAGGGAAAGGTGGGAGGGAGAAAGAGGCTTGGTAGGAAAGAGGAGGAAGAGAACTGTGGCGAGGTTAGCAGGGAGGGAGCGGATTATATCTTGGTAAGCAGGCCTATGTGCAAGATGCGGAGGGGAAGGAAAGAGACGTGTGGGAGAGTTGAAGGAACGGAAGAGAAGCGAGGAGGTGCAGGGGCGTACCTTGGTGTGCTGGCCTCTGTGCAAGACGCCAAGGGGGAAAGACGTGCAGGGGCGTACCTTAGTAAGCTGGCCTCTGTGCAGTACGTGCGCATGCCTCTCTGTGATGCAGTCGCTGCAGAGCACAGCCATGAGTGCACTGTACACGATGCCTAGCAGTGCCAGTAGGGACGCTGGGAGTGAGTGAGGGAGGGGATGGGGAGCGCAGGGACGGGGAGCAAGGGGGTCAGAGAGGGAAAGAGGGAAAAGACGGGAAAGCGAGTGACTCGCTGCGGAGCACAGGCATGAGCACAGGCATGAGCACAGGCATGAGCACAGGCATGAGCACAATGTGACAGTACACACGAGCCCTAGTAGTGCCTGCAGAGACGGTGGGAGGGAGGGCCGTGGGGAGGGCATGGAACGGGGAGCAAGGGATCAGAAAGGTAGAGAGAGGGGACGCAAGAGAGAAAGAAAGTTCCTGCAAAGCACGGCCATGCGCGCCCTGCACACGAGCCCTAGTAGTGCCAGCAGCGACGCTTGTGGGCGGCGTGATGGACAGGGGGAGCGCAAGGGAGAGAATACACACCTCACGGCCGCGCTTCCATACATGCACACACATGCACACCTACACGAATCCGTGCACACAGAATCTCATAAGCATACTAAGTCCGGGGGCAGAGGAGGGAAGAGCTGACCAGCAAAGGAGAAGAACTCGTGGGGGCGGTCCTGGAAGCCCAGTGCGTCCCTGAGCTGGCGCCCAAACACCCGGTATGTGAACACTCCCAGTGCCCCCACCAGCTGCACCGCCACAGGCACAGGCACGGGCACAGGCACGGGCACAGGCACAGGAACGGGCACAGGCACGGGCACGGGCACAGGCACGGGCACAGGCACAGGAACGGGCACAGGCACGGGCACGGGCACAGGCACGGGCACAGGCACGGGGACGGGCACAGGCACGGCCCACAGCACCAATGTGGGACGCGTGAGAGGTTGGGTTTGTGAAGTAAGGGAATGGAAAAGGGGTGGGAGGAAGGGTGGGGGAGGAAGGAGAGGGAGGAATGGAGCATGAGGAGAATGAGAGCGTTAGGTGAGAGGGAGAATGCGAGCGTGAGAGGGAGAATGAGAGCGTTAGGTGAGAGGGAGAATGAGAGCGTGAGAGGGAGAATGAGAGCGTGAGATGAGAGGGAGAATGAGAGCGGGAGAGGGAGAATGAGAGCGAGAGAGGGAGAATGAGAGCAGGAAAGGGAGAATGAGAGTGGGAGAGGGAGAATGAGGGCGGGAGAGGGAGAATGAGAGCGGGAGAGGGAGAATGAGAGCGGGAGAGGGAGAATGAGAGCAGGAGAGGGAGAATGAGAGCAGGAGAGGGAGAATGAGAACAGGAGAGGGAGAATGAGAGCGGGAGAGGGAGAATGAGAGCGGGAGAGGGAGAATGAGAGCGAGAGAGGGAGAATGAGAGCGGGAGAGGGAGAATGAGAGCGGGAGAGGGAGAATGAGAGCGGGAGAAGGAGAGAGCGGGAGAGGGAGAATGAGAGCAGGAGAGGGAGAATGAGAGCGGGAGAGGGAGAATGAGAGCGGGAGAGGGAGAATGGGAGCGGGAGAGGGAGAATGAGAGCGGGAGAGGGAGAATGAGAGCGGGAGAGGGAGAATGAGAGCGGGAGAGGGAGAATGAGAGTGGGAGAGGGAGAATGAGAGTGGGAGAGGGAGAATGAGAGCAGGAGAGGGAGAATGAGAGCGGGAGAGGGAGAATGAGAGCGGGAGAGGGCGAATGAGAGCGGGAGAGGGAGAATGAGAGCGGGAGAGGGCGAATGAGAGCGGGAGAGGGCGAATGAGAGCGGGAGGTCACAACAGCATGTACCAGGAGCACGAGGGTGACGAGTGCTGCATGGTCCCTCAGCAGCACCGCTCTAAACCGCAGTCGGTGCCAGGAGCGGTCGCGGGGCAGGTGTGGGCGCAGGGAGAAAGGCGCACGGCACTCGGAGCAGCGTGAGAATGCTGAACCCTGCTGTGATGTGGTGGGGAGGAGGTGTGGATAGAGGGCGGCAGGGGAGAGGGAGGGGGGGAATGGGCATGGGAAGATGCAGGCGGAGGGGCAGGGGCAGGCGGAGGGGCAGGGGCAGGGGCAGGGGCAGGGGCAGGGGCAGGGGCAGGGGCAGGGGCAGGGGCAGGGGCAGGAGAGGGGCAGAGGGAGTGGGAGACAGGGGAGGGAAGAGGCACGGGCGTGAGAATGCAGAAGCCTGCTGTGATGGGTGATGGAGCCGAGGTGGATAGGGAGCGGGGGGGGCGAGGAGATGGAAGGAGGTGCATGGCAGGGGAAAACGAAGGAAGTGGAAGGAGAGGAGAAAGAAATCGCTGATGGAGAGATGGGGCGGAATGGCGGGGTAGGGGTAGGAGGGAGAGCACGTGGGGTAAGGAGGGAGAGCACGTGGGGTAAGGAGGGAAGGAGGGGGGAATGACAGCAGGAGGGCAGGCAGCAAGGGGAACCGGGACCGCATGAGTCACAATGGACAGTGGACGGTATCCCACCAGACCGCACACCCCACTACTACCGCGCCCCACCGCAGTGCACCTTGGCAGCCCTCCAAGCGTCAAGGCAGGTGCGGTGCACGAAGCGCTGAGTCCCACGGCACTGGCAGGGTGCTATGAGGCGGCGACCTGGTGCACGTGGGGGGAGAACAGGGGGCAGGGCGGAGAGGCACGCAGGTGCGGGGATGGTGGCTTCTAAGCCGCGCAACATGCCTCCTGCATCATGGCGCTTTTCTCACAGGGTTTCGGGTTTGGGGAGTGGAGGGGAGGGTACGGGAGTGGAGGCAGGAGAGGGAGGGGTGGGGAGGGGAGGGGAGGGTAAGGGAGTGGAGGGGAGGAGAGGGAGGGGAGGGGAAGGGTGGGGAGGGGAGGGGAGGGGCGGGTGAGGAGGGCAGGGCAGGGCATGGGAAGGGGGGAGGGGAAGGGTGCGGAGGGGAGGGGAAGGGAGGGGAGGGGAGGGGAGGGGAGGGGAGGGGAGGGGAGGGGGGGGGAGGGGAGGGGAGGGGAGGGGAGGCGAGGGGAAGGGAGTAGAAGGGAGAGGAGGGGAGGGGAGGGGTAGGGAGGGGAGAAATGAAGAGGGGTGGGGAGGGGAGAAATGAGGAGGGGTGGGGAATGAGTGTGCAGGTGATGGTGATGAGGAAGGCGAAAATGATATCATGTTTCTAAGTGATATGCCATGGTGCAGCAGAGAGACGATCATGCGATTCCTCAATTCACCCGTTCTCCCATTTACACACCCCACCCCTCCAACCCTTTTCCCCAATCGTTGCCTCCACACACCTTCCTCACTTCCCTCCCCATTTTCACCCCCCTCCACGTGTGCGCATGTGCGGCTACCATACCATCAGCCTCCAGGCATATCCGGCATTGCTGCGTGCTCTCGTCCTCCTCCTCTTTCTCCTCCCGCCCCCCTTCCTCCACTGCGTTCCCTCCACCGTCCCTCGTCCTGCCACCGCCATCATCCCATTCACCCACCCCGCTCCCCTCCTTCACCACCCTCTCCCCTAGCTTTCCCTGCTCCACACTTCCCTCACTCCCAACCACAGCAGAGCACAGGGCGGCAGTTGTTTCGTCCGCGGGACTAGCAGCACCGCCTGGAGGCGGCCCGCGGAGCTCCGCCGCGCCTGCTGCTTCTTCCCCCCCCCTGCGCCTTGCTAGTAACGCCTCCGCCTCCCCTGTCTCCCCCGTCTCCCCCCCTTCCGCCTCAGCGTCCCGCGCAGGTAGTTCCGCGTCCATGCGCGAGCGGGCTAGCAGCGTCAAAGGCATCGCGGAAACGAGAGATGCGCGGGGAGACGGACGGAGAGGCGCGCGGAGAGGGCGGCGGAGAGGCGTTGAGTCAACTCAAAGTCGCCACGGGTAGCGAGCCGGGTAGGATCGGTCCGCCTGTGAAATGCTCTCAAATGGCGGAGATTTCTTTTGGTGCTGCGTTAATCAGGCGAGAAGAGCCTCCTTTGAGATCGAATTCGGAGATTTCTCAAATATTGGATCACTCCGCCCGATTTGGAGATGATCTCGAATGGTGGAGCTGAGTATTCCTGGCGCGAAGAGCCTCTTCGGGAGATTTCGCGGCGCCTCAAAAAGCGGCTCGAGGAACGGTAGTTTGGATATACGGTGGCGACAAAAGGCTCGTCGTTCAGACGACTGTGAGTGTTTAAGGCCTCCGCAGCCCACTTGTCCGTTACTGACAGCTCGTACGACGGTCTGCTCTTGAGTCGACTCAAAAGCACGACGGTCTGAGAAGAGGTTTCGATTCCCCCCTTTCCAACCGAGCCAGCATCCAGGGAGGAACGAGAAACGAGGACTTTGTACAGTATCGCGGCACGCGGTGTAGCTGCTGGCTGAGTGCGCCTTGGAACTATCGCAGCGCGAGGGCCCCTCGAGGACGGCAGAATCAGATTACGCCGCTGTTAGCGATTCACCATGTTGGAGCGGTTGCTACGGAATAAGCCGACGCCGGAGCAGAAACGCTAATTGATGCACTACTAAAAGAGCGGCGGTTTCCGTTTTGGTCTGGACGTTTCCATAATCTACTCAACATCACGTGACGTGACGTGACGTGACGCCTCGAAGGTAACAAGACGCGAAACCGCTGGATTGAGGCTGCGATTTTACGAACCAAGTTCGACCTATGTGTGATCCCCCCAACTTTCTACGACTAGAACCTTCCAACAAGGTTGAATACTGACTGACAACGGCAACAAGTGCGACCGCTTACGATTTGCGCTGAGCATCGCCATCCGTCATCGTGGACCGTCGTTATGATATCGACGGTTCTCATTTCCAGTCTGTGTGATGTCAGAAAATCGTACACGTCTCCCGATATGCTATTGGCTACGACGTGTATTGGTGACCCACAGCATGATGTGTTCGATTCGAACGCAAGTTGCCCAGGATGCCACCTGAGTAGGCGTTCCCACGGTTTGGAAGACAAGCGATTCTGCCCACACGGCTCGTGATTTGGAGGGATGGTGTCCATTGTGGGGTACTGCCCCACTCTGGACACCGCAGTGATTTATGCCCGAATATCGCAAATTCGGCTACAGTCTCACCTCCAATCACAGAGAAATACGATACTTCGCCAGCCATTGCGAATTCCATCATGAATTTTCAGGTGTATTTTTCCAAGTAATTCTGTTTGTTCAAGCGTAGAGTTGACTTCGGTTTTTGTACGGGGAGAGGGAGAGTTCTCGATTTTTGAAACGCTTTCGCCCCAAAAACGATTTGTTCCCCTGCCCTACGAGTGCACTTCCCACCGTGGTTTGCGGATGTAATCGTCAGACGTTCGATTGGGTAACCATGACGGATCTTACGACCCAGATTGTTTGCACAGGGGTGTCCAGACCTGGAGCCGCAACCATTCAAATTTTACAACATTGGAAATTTGCGAGTCGCGTGGGCAGACTCACTTGTCGTCCAAACCGTGGGAGCACCCCCAGTCACGCAAGTGTCACTCGCTGCAGCGAAAAACAGGCAAACTGTCGTCTTGTCGGTGGTGTGTTTGTCAGTGAGGTTCGGTGTCTTCGCTGTAGGTGCGATTTGATTTCGCTAAGACTTGGTGACTTTATGCCTTTCAAACGCATCAAATACAATTATACAACGTTCCACAGCACCCTGTTCATGCTAAAATGTCACAAACACATGATCCTGTAAATCACCACAATGCAAAAGAAGCTGATCGCACCACGACCATGCATGCCTTGGCTTACAGTTATCTGCTACAATTCACACCCCGGAACTGCTCGCTGCTAAGTACGAAGTGGCAAAAAGCAAGGAACCTCCAGTTTGACACAGGTGTGTTACTGCAACACCTGTCATAACTACCCCCTCTTACCACCCAGCTCCTTTCGCCGTTTACCGCTCCCTGCACAGTACCCGCTGCCCACTGCCCACTGCCCACTGCATAACACTCACTGCTCTGACCAACTGCTCACCCTGCTGTTCGCATTTGCCCTGGCCCCTTCACCATTCATCGCTGCCCCTGACTGTGTCTGCCAATGCTACTACAAGCACACATGCAAGCAGATCTAGGTCAGGGGCCGCCAGCACGGAGGGAAAAGCGGAGGCAGGAGCAGAGGGACAGGTGGGCCATGCTCGGGAAACAAGCACTGCACATGCAGCCACCGCAGCAGCAGGAGCAGCCACCACAGCAGAAGCAACAGCAGCAGGTGGTGCCAACCACAACAGCCGTGGCACCAGCACCCCACAGCGTCCGGTGAAAGGTCTTCAGGTAGTCAGGTCAGGCAGGAGGCCGAGCATATCCCGAGGTACCTCAAAACTCAGCAGACAGCCAGGGGAAAAACAGGAATAAGCTGGAGTCACGCCTCAGGAATTAACAGCAAGACAGGAGAAGGTGAGCCGGGGCATCGCAGGCAGCTGGTGTCTGATTCCAGGATGAGCCGTTCCCGATGCAGAGCCCAGCCACAGCACGGTGATGAGCTATGGATTCGAGCACGCTCTGCCAACTGCCCAGGTGCTTGCTGGTGGGTGGCGGTGCCTGGTTCAGGTTCAGGTTCAGGTTCAGGTTCAGGTTCAGGGTTCACAGGTGCGCGGCACTGCTCAAGCCGATGCTAGGCAGCCAAGGTGCAGCGTGGTGCAGTCATATCATATGGGTCGGACGCACCGCCGCTGTCACAAGGAGACTTGTGAATCAAACTGAAGAGTCACCTTGTGCCGTGGTGTGACATGCTTGGGAGGGACGTACAGTACCGCTGCCACGGCTCCACCCTCTTGCTCCCTCCACCAGACAAGCAAACGGACCCACACCCCACTGCTTCTCCTTGCTCCTCCGATCCTTCTCTCCCCACCTGCTCCTGCTGCTGCTGCTCCTGCTGCTGCTGCTCCTGCTGCTGCTCCTGCTGCTGCTCCTGCTGCTGCTCCTGCTGCTGCTGCTCCTGCTGCTGCTCCTGCTGCTGCTCCTGCTGCTGCTTCTGCTGCTGCTCCTGCTGCTGCTCCTGCTGCTGCCGCCGCTGCTGCTGCTGCTGTCCCTGCTGCTGTCCCTGCTACTGTTCCTGCTGCTGCTCCTGCTGCAACCCCACCTGCTTCCCTGCCGCTGCTCCTGCTGTGCATGCTTGCAGCACTCCACATGCCTCCTCCTCCTCCTCCTCACACAGTCCCCTTCCACATCACACATCCGTGCACCGATCCCCTCTCGTCCCTCACCCGCACTGCAAACCGGCGAACGGACGCACTTCCAGCAGGTGCAAGGCACAGGCATAGAAATGCAGAGAGATCACTGGGGTTTAACATCACGCCCTCGCAATGGACCTGCGAGTCCAACCCTGCGTTTGAGTCGACTCAAAAGCGGAAATGCAGAGAGATCACAGGGGTTTGACATCACGCCCTTGCAATGGACCTGCGAGTCCAACCCTGCGTGAGCCATGGCTACCACCGCCAAGGACGGCTGCGGAGAAGTGACTTTTGAGTCGACTCAAAAGCTACCACCGCCAAGAACGGCTGCGCGGAGAAGTTGGGCGCAATATTGAGGGCAGCGGTGTGTGCTGAGACGATAACATGATGGACTCGTTGGCTTCGCTCCCTCATGCTGATGCCACACCGCAAGGGCACCACTTGGAGATCACGGTGCGCATGAATGAAACCGGAAGAATAACCAGAACGAAAAAAAGAAAAGAAGAAGAACAAAAAATGGAAAAGGGAGAAAAAAAAGAAAACCTGGTATCGCGCAACACTTCTCCCTCAGGTCCCGGAAGGCTGCTCTGCCATCCTGGGCGAGTGCAACACTCCTGGCTGGCCTGCACCACACCGCACCGCACCTCACCGCCTCCGGTTCAACCTGGCCTGGCTGTTGCTAGAAAAGTCCGACAGTGACCCATCCACCACTCCCAGGTTGTTCCTCCCAGGCCGCTCCCTCTCTTTCTCCGCCCCTCCGTGCCCCCCCTGCTGATCCCGTGCTCTCACAAGCAATACAGGCTGAGCTCCCCTGCCCTGCCCTCCCATTCCCCCTCCACCTGCTGCTGCTGCTGCTCCTCCTCCTCCTAAAATCCCTGCTCCTCCTGCTCCTCTCCCCTGCTGCCCCTGCTGCCACTGCACATACCCACCACTTCCTCCTCCCGCTCCCCCTCCCCCCACTCCTCCTCCCCATCCCCCTCCCGTCCCCCCACCTCCCCCTGCAAACCCCACAGCAGCAGGCGCAAACGGCCTCTCCTCTTCCGCCCGCTCATTATACTCCAGCACGCGTCTCTTGATATCCTGTCTCTCCTTCTCCTCCTCCTCCTCCTTGCGCCGCGTCGCCACCGCAATAGCACTGTCACTAGGAACCATCAACTCCCTCGCCTGCTGCTTGTTCCCTCTCTTCACCAGCACCCGGAAAACAGTCATATCCGGCCCCTTCTCATCCCCTCCTCTCCCCCTCCCTCCTCTCCCCCCCCCCCTCTCCCCCTTCATCATCAGCATCATCCCCATCATCCACCTTCCCTGCTCCACCCCCCCCTCTCCTCCCCGTTCCCCCCCCACCACCACCACCACCACCCCCTCCCGCACTCGCACCCGAGCTCCCATCGAGCAAGCTCATGGGAATCGATATGTTCAGCACGCCCGCACCCCGCTTCTCCAGCTTCCTCTCTGCAAGGCTCTCCTGCATGAGCGCTCGAAACTCCTTGTCAAAGTCTTCTAGCTCCTCCGGATCCACCTCCGCTTCTTTCCTCCCCCCGACCAGCTTCACTTTGTCGTCATCCCCCTCCCCTTCCTCCGCCTCGCTTGCTTCCCCCCCCGCGCCCCCCTCCCCCTCCGTCTCCCCTTCGTCATCGTCGTCCTCTCCTCCCCCGTCCTCCCCATCCCCTGTCTCATCCCCGTCGTCCTCCTCCCCTCCCTCCTCCTCATCCCCCCCCACAGTCTCCTCCTCGCTATCACTCCTCTCCTCCTCCCCTCCCTCCCCCGCCTTCCCCCCTTGCTCCATCTGCACGTCAACATTCTCAGGGATGACCCCAAGCCCCCCCCCTCCTCCCCCACCTCCTCCCGCCGCTCCTCCCATCCCCGCTGCAGCCCCAGAAGCCCCACCAGCACCAGCCCCGTCCCCTCCTCTCCCGCCGCCCCCTCCCCCGCCCTTGCCAGCGGCCCTCTCAGCGTCCTGCAGCAGCTGCGCCTGCGCCTCTTCCAGAGTGGCGAATCGCTTCATGCGCGGCCGCAGCTTGGCGAATAGATCCTGAACGACGGCCGGCGCCACAAGGGAGCAGAGAATGCGAGATTGCGGAGAGACCACGACGAGGTTTATGGCCCAAGACCCAGAGAACTGAAGGAAGAAAGAACTGAAAGGCTCACACGGAGATTCACTCAGCAGTGAGTGCACCCGTGACAGTCATTCTCGTTGTAAGGCGATGGGCTCACCCACACCTGGATCCCCACAGGGATTAGGACCGGAGGCATCTCATTCACATGCAATTCATTCAAACTCCACGTCAACTGGCAGGGAGGGCTTTGCAAACACCTAGGCCTGGTAGAAACCTCTGTGTGCAAGCCCCTACCCTGCCCTCCACGTGCCGTATCCAGCACCTTCTCCTCCCCCCCCGTCCCCAACACTAAACCCCCTCCCTCTCCACCTGCAAGCCAAACTCCACGTCGAGTGGCACGGAGGGCTTGGCGAGCATGTAGGCCTGGAAGAGCCACGTCCGTCTCCACAGCCTTACTAATACACACAACAACCCACGACACGACAACCCCCCAGAATTTACCACAATCCACCACAACCCACCTGCAGGTCAAACTCCACATCAAGTGGCACGGAGGGCTTGGCGAGCATGTAGGCCTGGAAGAGCAGCAGGAAGCGGTCGAGGCGGCGCCGCGATGAGCCGCGGTCAAAGAAGTGGCCGCACGTGGCGAGGAGCGTCGCTGCCATGCGGATGCGGAAGGAATCGTCCGGTGGGTCCAGCATGAGGTGCTGTTGGGAGGGGAGAGATTGCGAATGCGGATGGAAGGAGACAAGAGAGGAGCGGAGGAGAAGGGGGCGGATGAGCGAGGGTGAAAGAGTTTGAAAAGTGGTCGCAGGTGGCGAGAAAGGTTGCTGCCATGCGGATGTGGAAGGAACTGTCAGGGGGGTCTAAGGTGACGTGCTGAAAGGAGAGGAGGACAGGGGGAATGGGGATGGGGATGGGTGGAGAGAGGAATGTAGGGGAGGGGAAGGGAGGGGAGAAAAGGAGGGGATGAGATTCGGAGGAAGAGCTTTTGGAAAAGCGCCAGCAGGCCGTGAGCACTGTACTGTATTACACAGCAGGTGCGTGGCATGCTTCTCGGGTGCACCGCACAATACCACACTCGACCGCATTGCACCGGCATACCACACTGGCAGCACAGGACTTGCCTCGGGCGAGTAAGCGCCAAAGAAGAGCAGCAGGTGCAGCGTGTCAAAGACCAAAGACTCGCCAAGTAAAAGCAGTGTGCACCACTCTGGACTGCTCTACACCTCATACCACACCACCCAACACACGCACCTCGGGGTATCAGCGCCGAAGAAGAGCAGCAGGTGCAGCGTGTTAAAGACTAGGTGCGAGTCCACCACACCACACAATAGCTGTACAGCTCGCCCAGGAAAAGCAGCGGCGCACCGCACTGCACTCCACTGCTGTACACCCCGTACCACACAGCACTCCACACATACAACCCCTGACTGGTCCCCGCCGTACCTCGGGGGTATCAGCGCCGAAGAAGAGCAGCAGGTGCAGCGTGTCGAAGACGAGGTGCGAGTCCACCACGCGGTAGCTGTACAGCTCGCCCAGGAAGCGCAGCGCTGTGATGCGCCGCTGCTGGTAGCTGCTGTCTGGGACCTCCAGGCCCAACCGAATGTCCTCCATTAGCTGTGGGGGAAGAAGCGGCCGGGAGGTGGGGGAGACAGGGAGCAAAAGGGGAAGAGTGGTGGGGTGCTGGTGCGTGCTGCCTGGTGCCTCTATGCCAAATAAGATGTCCTCCATTGTCTGTGGGAAGGCGGAGAGGGAGCGGAGGTAGGGAAGAGGGATTTTCCCAGTGCGAAGGAGGAGGAGAGATGACGACTAAAGGGAGGCGAGAGACCAGGAAAGGGGTGCTGGTGCACTGCTGTTAGGCGCATCCAACACAGAATTACCTCCCTCTTTTCCCCCTCGCTCCTTTCCCACCCCTCTCCTCGCACACTCCCTCCCTACCCCTATCCGTCCACCCACCCACGTTTCCTTCCTCCCATCCCTTGCCCTCCGTCCCTCTCTCCCTGTTCCATCTCCCCCTCCCCCCCCCACCACTCCGACCCCATCCCCACCCTCACCTGGTCCGCCATGTCCACCCCCACAGATTCTCTGAATCTCTTGAGGCGCCTCAAATCTCCCCTCCCACTCCCCCCCCCCTCCCCCGTCTCCCCAACCTCCTCACCTGGTCAACCACGGCCACCCCGACAAATTCTCTGAATCTGGACAGAGCGGCGACGAGAGAGGCGAGGAGGTGGATCTGGTTGAAGCGCGCGCGGTGGGTCTTGATCAGACACTGCACCACGTACCCCTCGCACCTCCCCTTCCTCGCCCCATCCCTCTACTGCTCGTTGCTCCGTCCCATCCCCACTCAACTTCCTCGCTCCCTCCCTCCCTCCTTCCATCCTGCTCGACCCCCACTTCCCCCGTCCCTCAACCACACACACCCCCCCCTTCTCTCACCTGATCAACCACGGCCACCCCGACAGATTCTCTGAATCTGGACAGAGCAGCGACGAGCGAGGCGAGCAGGTGGATCTGGTTGAAGCGCGCGCGGTGGGCCTTCACCAGACACCGCACCACGTACCCCTCGCACTCGCCCCACGGAAGCTTCCTCAGCTGCCGCAGAACCTTCTCGACGGTGGATTTGCTGAGGTCAGCGTAGAGCAGCTTGCGGATGTACTGTGGATAGGATGGGGGGGAGGGAGAGGTACGGGAGGAGAAAGGGAGGGGGGGAGAGGGGGAAGGGAGGGAGGGCAGGAGGTGACAGAGTAGGGAATGGGATGGTGAGAGGAAAGCAGATGCCGTAGGTGCCCTTGCTGAGGTCAGCATAGAGCAGCTTGCGGATGTACTGTGGGGAGGATGGGGGAGAGAGGGGCGCAGGGCAGAGGAGGGACTGCAAGGAGAGGCGGGGAAAGGGAGAGAGAGGGGAGAAGGGAGAGGGGAGAGGAGGAGAGGGGAAAGGGAAGAGGGGGAGAGGGAGAAGGGGAAGAGCAGCTTGCGAAAGAATGCAGTGAATAAAGAAGGGGAGAGAATAAGGGGAGGGGTGACTGGATGGGATGGGTGGAGGGGGGAAAGTGGGGGGAACGGGAGGAGAGATGGGGAGGGGAGACGGGGAGTGGAGAGGGGGGACGGAACAGGAGCTTGCAAATGCACTTAAAGCTACATACGCATGCTCAGAGCAGTGAAGAGTCTCAGAATACGTGTGTGTAAAAAACCCGTTGCACGTGCCAGATGCAGGGCACGCAGGCCACACAGGCAGCCGCCCCTGTGTAAAGAGGGTGTTTTTGAGACGTCTCAAAAACCACACAGGCAGCCGCCCCTGTACATCACGCTGAGGTTCTACATATCCTCCTCACCTCACCCTGGCCCTCCAAGTACCCTTCCCCCCGGCACAGCAACACCCACACCCCTCGGCCCCCACACCACACCACCACCACACATAAACACACTTCCCCCACCCCCACCTCCACACAAAGAGACGCATCCCCGTCCCATCCCCCACCACACACTCGCCTGCCTCTCCGCCCATGCCTTCGTCTGGCCCACCTTACCTCATTCCCCCCTCTCCTCACCTGGTGCAGTGGCGGGCGTGTCTTCACAACCTTGGCGACGTGAAAGAAGGAGTGTTTTGAGACGTCTCAAAACACTCCTTCTTTCACCTTACCCCATTCCCCCCTCTCCTCACCTGGTGCAGCGGCGGGTATGTCTTCACAACCTTGGCGACGCGGTCCGGGGGGCGGCAGAGGAAGTAAGCGTTGTCAATGAGCGTGGAGTGGTGCGCGTCGAAGCTGCGCGCGTTCTTGAGGCGCTGGATGATGTCCAACATGTTGCCCATGCGCACCTGGTTGGGGGGGGGGGGGGGGGGAGGGAGGGGGGTGGGAAGGAAAAGGGGCGGCAGGAGGAGAAAATGCGATAGGGGCAATAAGGAAGTGCTAAACGCAATACTCGAAGCTGCGCGCGTTCTTGAGGCGCTGAATGATGTCCAACATGTTGCCCATGCGCACCTGGTGGGGATGGTGGGGGCGGGAGGGGAGGGAAGAGAACAGTGAGGCGCTGGATGATGTGCAGCACAATGGCTGTGCGCTCCTGAAGGCGGGGGGGGGGGGGGGGGGGGGGGGGGGGGGGGGGTGGGGGGGGCGGGTGAGGGGGAGGAGGAGACTAGTGAGTCGGCTCAAGGGTCGAAGCTCCTCGTGTTCTTGATATGCTTAATGATGTCCAGCATGGTGCCCATGCGCACCTGGTGGAGAGGCAAGGGGTGGGTGAGGGTGGTGGAGGGGGGGGAAGGGCATGGAGGAGAGAGGGGGAGTTCATGGGGGGGATGGCGGCAAAGGAAAGGGAAAACTGAGACACTAGTGATGGCATGAGAAGCGGATGAGGTGGAGCAGGTTGGCTGCAAACCCGGGGGGGAGAGGGAAGGGGTGAGAGAATTCGAAAGGAACCACTAGAGGAACAGTGAACGGGTGTGAGGAACAGGAAAAATGGAGGGCGAAGGGTGGGTTGGACAGGAAGAGCAGGGAGAGGTGGGTGGGGTAGACAGAGAACATGGGGAAGCAAGGTGGGGGGAACAGGGAAGGGTTGAGGGGACGACGGGATATGCCTTGTCCTATGCCGGAAAAACAAATTATTACACAGCCCAACTGGGCACATGAGACCTGGGCACATGAAACCTGGGCACATGAAACCTGGGCACATGAAACCTGGGCACATGAAACCCGGGCACATGAAACCCGGGCACATGAAACCCGGGCACATGAAACCCGGGCACATGAAACCCGGGCACATGAAACCCGGGCACATGAAACCCGGGCACATGAAACCCGGGCACATGAAACCCGGGCACATGAAACCCGGGCACATGAAACCCGGGCACATGAAACCCGGGCACATGAAACCCGGGCACATGAAACCCGGGCACATGAAACCCGGGCACATGAAACCCGGGCACATGAAACCCGGGCACATGAAACCCGGGCACATGAAACCTGGGCACAGCACCGCATCACACGTGAGCCTGTGAGCCTGTGAGCGCACACACCTTGGTGTCGGGGTGGCGGGAGAGGAAGGCCCCGCACGTCTCAAGCAGCGCACACGCCACGTCGATGCTGTGGTGGGAGAAGTCCTCCAGGCACGACTGCATGCAGGCGATTGAGGGTGGGGGGATGGGAGGAGCACACAAGGACACAGGCTCTGCACGCAGTCATGTCAATGCTGTGGTGGGACAAGCCCTTCAAAGAAGGCATGACTGCATGCACGCGACCAAGGGGCGAGGGGAAAGAGGAGGTGGAGGAGGGTGGGTGGGTGGGAGGAGCACACTAGTCACTAGACACAGGCGCGTCGACAATCATCCCGCTCAGGGTGGCCATGCAGTGCACGCTGAGCTGCTACCCCTAAGCCAGTCACGTCGCACTAGCCGCGCCGCCCGCTTCACAGAAGGGATGGCACCGAATTGGAATGGAGAAAGGTGGATGGCACGGTGCTGTGAGAGGTGGAGGAGGAGGAGGTGAGAGGCCCACCTTGAGGCAGCTGAAGATGAGGCTTGGTGGCGCGACCTTGAACTTGGCTAGCTCGCCCAGGAAGCGGATGTTACGCATCTTCGACTCTATGTTGATTTGATCCTGGTGACCGCACCGGCGGGGGGAGGGGGGGAGAGGGAAGGAGAGAGGGGTTGGGCGGGGAAGGAGAGGAGACGTTTTCGAATGTTGCGCGTCTTGGACTCTATGCTGATTTGATCCTTGTGGGCGCATGGAAAGGAGGGGGGGTGGGGGGGTGACGAGAGAGAGTGGGGAGAAGAGAGGTTGTTAAATGCTGCACATGTTGGTTCGATGCTGATGGGCGCGTGTCGCGCATGTGAGTGAGGAAGGTAGAAAGGGGATGGGAGGGAGGGAGACGAGGGACAGTAGGGACTTTCAGATGTTGCACATAATGCACTGAACCTCCATCCAACCCATCAACAAGCCAACCTTGCTGCGCTGCTCCCTTTGCCCCACGAACCCCCCGCCCAACCCAGCCCGCTGCCCACCCACCCACCTTCTTGCCCTTGAGTGCAGCAAACCCCTCTTCCAGCAGTGGGTACTGCACCAGGGGCAGCCCCACATCCCGCATGTACTGCCCAAGCGTGCTCCCCGTGCACCCAATTCAAGCGCTCAGCCCACGCTCTCAGCAGCAACACAAGAGCCGAACCCACCCACCTTCTTGCTCTTGAGCGCCGCAAACTCCTCTTCCAGCAGGTGCACCAGCGCCGGCCCCACATCGCGCATGTACTGCCCCAGCGTGGCGGCCAGGCGTGCGTGGTACGGCAGCAGCTGCAGCGCCGTGCGGTGCACCGCAAAGAGCGCCCGCACCAGCCTGCGGCGACTGGCCTTGCTGTTCACGTAGCAGAAGTCCACCTGAGAGGGGAAATGGGGGGTTGGCGGGTGGAGAGGGGGATGGGGGAAGAGTGGGGGAAGTGGGGAAGCAGCAGGAAAAGAGGTGTACATGGATGCGTTCAAGAGGCATGTCAAGGAGCACACCAGCCTGTGGTGACTCGCCTTGCTGTTCACGTAGCAGAAGTCCACCTGGATGAGGGGAAGTTGGGCGGGAGGGGAAGTTGGGCGGGAGGGGAAGTTGGCGGGGAGGGGAAGGGGGCCGGGGAGACGGACGGGGAGGGAGAGGGGGAAGGGCAGGGGGAGGGAGAAGGGGAGGGGGAGGGGAATGGGGAGGGGAGAGGCAACAGATTAAGAGGCGGGTATGGATGCTTAATAGAGGTGCAACAAGGAGCGCACCAGCCTGTGGCGACTCGCCCCGCTGTTCACGCACCTGGTAAGAGAGGGTGGGGAGTGGAGGGAAGGGTGGGCAGGGAGAAGGCGGGGAGAGCCGAGGATGGTAAGAGGTGGGAAAAGGGAGATCTGGGAGGGACGGAGGGAGGGAGGGAAGCAGGGAGGCAGGGAGGGAGGGAGGGAGGGGGAGGGAGGGGGGGGGGGGGGCGGGCAGGTAGCGAGGGCGGGAGGCTGACTGACAGCGAGTTGGTCGATGAGGTCTCTGCTGACGCAGGACGGCAGGCGCTGCAACAAGTCGTCTAGCTTCGCTGCCTCCACTCCCTTCACCTTCTCCTTCTCCTTCTCACTCTCCTTCTCTTTCCCCTTCTCCTTATCCTTCTCCTTCCCCTTCTCCTTCTCTTCCTTATCCTTCTCCTTCCCCTTCTCCTTCCCCTTCTCTTTATCCTTCTCCTTCTCCTCCTTCCCCTCGCCCTCCTCACTCTCCTTCTCCTCGCCATCCCCCTTTCCGCCCTTCCCGCCCCCATCACCCAGCAGCACGGCAGGAACAAACAGCTTCAAGTCCGGCAGGTCTTCATAGAACACTCTCGTCTCATCATCATCCCACAGGGGTAAAGGCTCAGCCTCTCTCTTCCCACCGTCCGCCCCCGCCCCTCCTGCGCTCCCTGCTGAGCTGTCCCCGCCCCCTGCCACGTGGGTGGTGTGCTCGTCCTCTGGCAGCACGACAGGTGGACGGTCCAGAGCCTCAGCCAGGCTGGGAAGGGGAGGACGGTACGAAGAAAAAGGGGAGGGGTTCAAGGGGGAAGGTGGGGAGAGGGGGGGACGGGGATGTAAGAAGGTGGTGGTATGTGGGTTGAGGGTGGTGGGTGGTGGGTGGGATGGGGTTGGGTGCTGAGAGGGCGCTAGGGAAAAGGGAGGGCTGGTAGAAGTACAAAGGATGATGTGTCTGGCTTTCTGATTAGTAGACCTTTTCTCACTACTTCCCTCGACTTTCATATTAGTGGACTAAGTGCTATAGATCGTTACTCTTAGCAGGCTCTGATCGTTACTCTGCGTTTAGAATCCAACGAATTTCAAGGATGATGTGAACAAAAGGGTTGAACGCACACAAACGCGCAGACCGGAACGAACCCACCATTCTGAAAGAGGAACTCGAAACTGAACCGGCAGTGACACCTGTATCAACACCCACAGCGACACCCCCGGCGACACACACAAAATCCAATCCTCCCCACTCACGCGTTGGTGTTGCGCAGCAGCTGCTCCAGCCCTCGGCGGCTCTTCTCATACGCGCCCGTCACGTCCTCGCCCACCTCCCCTCTCTGCGCCGTGATGCGCGCTATGTCCCGCTCCATGCCCCTTAGCACGCCCTGCTCGCTCTGCACGAGCGTGCACAGCGCCTCGAAGAATGAGGAGACCAGCTTGGAAAGCTGCTTGCGCTGCTCTGCGGTTACGGGGAGGTCTGTGTAGACCTGGGCGTGGGAGGGGGGAGCAGAGGGGAGAGGGGGATTGGGGGGGGTTCTGATTTTTTAGAATCCCCCCTCAAAACTAAGGCTGGCTTCTGAAGGGCCAAATAAGCGATGACACATTTGCACTGGTCAGCGGTGATTGGGAGGCCTGTGTAGACCTCCTGATAACCTGGGCGTGCGGGGGGGGGGAGGGGAAGCCTGGGAGAGCGTGGAGGGGCGTCATCACATACCTCCTCATCTGCTGGGTCGCTCTTGAACCCTAGTAGCGGCCCTCCCACGCGCACAAAGCTGAGCATGAGCGTCACAGACATGGTCACCGCCTCCCTCTCCCTCTCCAGCCTCTCCTTCTCCCTCTCACTCTTCCCAGCACCAATACCCACTTCCGCTCCCCCTCCCGCTCCTCCTCCTGCCGCCGCCGCCGCTGCTGCGGCTGCTACAAGCCCGGCCCCATCCGCGCTCGCCATCTCCTTCACGACGCCGATAATCACACTCGCATCGCCGTACACTCCGCATAAGAACAGCTCCACTAGCAGCCGAAACACGCTGCGCTTCCGCGATATTCGAGCAGAGAGGCTCGCCCCTGTGCCTGCACCACCCGCCCCTGCCACCGCCCCCCCTCCTCCCGCTGCTCCCGCTCCTGCCACCCCTGCTCCGCTGATCCCCCCCCCTGCTCCGCCCGCACTAACAGCGCTCCCGTCGAAATCATCGAAAAACAAGCTGCTGCTGATGGTGCTGCTGCTGCCACCGCTGGTGCTGGTGCCGGTGGTTGGTTTGGAGGAGGGTGGGGATGGCATGAGGACGCGGAGCAGGGTGGGGATGAGGGCTGGGGAGAAGTCTGCGTAGCGCTGGTGCAGCAGCGAGCAGACCTGAAGGGGTGGACGAGGTTGGGGAGGGGCGTGAGGTGAGGGGGAGAGGGGGGGAGGGTGATGGGGGGAGACGGGGAGAGGGGTAGACGGGCAGAGGAGCAGATGGGGGAGAGGGGGAGAAGGGGAAAGGGGGAGAGAGGGAGAATGGGAGAGGTGATGAGAGGCGTCTGGCGGGGGGGCGAGAGGAAAGAGGAGGTGAATAGAAAAGAAAGGAGGGGGGGGGGGGGGGGAGGAATCCTTAATCTTGTGCATCCATGATTGCGTGAGGCTATTAGTGTACGGCTGAATCAAATGCGACACAGTTAGTAACGCATACAAAGGGTAGATGGGTCATGGATCCGCTCGAAGAGCTTATTTGGTTGGTGTGAACCGTTTTATTAGCGTTTAGCGTGGTACTTAGTACATCCAACATATGTGGGCCGACGTGGCCCGTGGGTGACGGAGGGAGGGGAGAGGCGCGGGGGGAAGGGGGGGTGGGATGGGAGGGGAGGGGAGAAGGAGGAAAGGGAGGAGGGAGGGGATAATGAGGGAGGGGAGAAGAGGGCAGGGAGATCGGATGGGACGGGACGGAAAGGCGGAGAGGAGAAAGATGGGAGAGGAGGGGAGGAGAAGAGAGTGGGAGGGGAGGAGTGTAGGAGAGGAGAGGAGGGGAGGGGGGAAAGGGGAGGATTGGAGAAAGAGCAGGCAAGAAAGGAGGAGAGGAGCGAGGAGGGCCGGGGAGCAGAGGAGAGGGGGGAAGGGGGGGAATGGTTGAGGGGAGGAGAAAGGACGGGAGGGGAGGCAGGGACCTGCACGGCAGCGGGGATGTCTGCCATCTTGAGCTTGGCCTCCGCTATGGCCGCCACTGCTTCTGACACGTACTTGCTCATGTTCACTGCCCGCACCTGGTGGGGGGGAAACGAGAAGGAGGGACGGAGGGAGGGAGGGTGGGATGGAGTGGGGGAGTAGGCTAGAGCTGTTCTGCCTCCGACACGTACTTGCTCATATTCACTGCCCGCACCTGGTTTGGGGGAGGGAGGAGGGGCGTGGGGGAAAGGACGGAAAGAGGGCGGAAGGGAGGTGGGAGGGGTCGATGGAAAGGGGATGGAGCGAGGGAAAGAAGGGGCTAGAGGTGCCGCCGTCGATGTCTCTCACACGTACTTGCTCATGCTCACTGCGCGCGCCGCACCTGGTGGGGGGGAGAGAGGGGGGGATGCAGGAGAGGAGGCAGGGGGCAGCAGGAGGGGAGGCAGGAGGACAGGCAGGAGGGAGGCATGGGAGGGGGATTGCAGCCTACAGGGTGCAAGTTCCTGCGGGTGCGGGACAGGGAGGCAGGTACACAGAGGAAGGTAGGAACAAGGGGGGGCGGATGGAAGAATGGGGAGTTGGTGGAGGGGGAAGAGGAGGTAAGTAGGGAAATGATTACAGGGTGGGCTTAGAACGGAAAACACCCGAAATCTTGACTTGAGATAGGTGAGCTTACAAGGATTTGGGTGAAAAACCGAGAGGGTTAAGGAACTGGAGAAGGAGCGGGGGCGGGAGAGGCGGGGTTGTGTGGAGGACGCAGTGAACTGAAGGCTTTGGGACTAGACTAGAGGCTGACACTGAGCTTGTCTTCCCCTTCCACCATCCACCATCCGTTACCCCTCGCTTCCCTCACCCCTAACCCCCACATGCTTGTACCATCCACCTGCGCCATCTCACCACACCATCCCTACCTAACACCAGCTACACCCACAACCCACATCAGCTACATTACCGAGATAGAAAGGAAACCCACACCCACAAACTGACACAAGCCATCCAACCCACCCACCCACCCGCGCCCGCCCACCCACCCACCCACCCACCCACCCACCCACCCACCCACGCCCACCCACCGACCTCATCCAAAATGGTTTCCCTCTGATCCTCGCTGAGCTGTTTCAGCCGTCGGATCACCGCCGTGTTGCGCTTGATGCTTGAATCCAGGCCCTTGCCCTCGCCGCTCGCGCCCAGCCGCTTCGGCCGCAGGTTTGCCGCACGAAGCGCCTTCTTAGCCTCGGCAGCCTTCCGAGCCTCGTCTGCTCTGGCGAGAGCATCGTCCTGGGGGGAAGCGGGAGAGAAAGGGCGTTGGGGGTGGAAGAGGGGAAGAGGGGGGGGGAGAAGGGGGGGGGAAGGGGGGAAGTGGAGAGAAGGTTGGAGGGGAGAAGACGGGGGAGGAAGTGCGTGGGTTAAAGATGAAGAGGGAAGTGAGAAGAAGCAGCGGCGAGTGGCAGTTGATGAGGACGGCATTAGGACGCGTCACCTGAAGGCCAATCCTGCGATCGATCCTACGTAGGATCGATTTTTCACGTGGTTCAAAAAACGTCTAGAAGTTTTGAATGCAATACACAGGTTTTTGGTGCGGTCAAAGATCGGTTTTTGCACGATCGAGCCGGAGGGGACGCGTCCTTGGTGAACTGTGAACATTCTCAAAAAGACTCTCACATGAAAGGCTACACACCTGTTCATCAGCTTGCACACTGAGGTGAGGAGTTGAAACAAGAGAGGGAGAAGGTGAGAAGTTGGAGGTAAGAATGTAAAAAGACCAAAGGATGCATGGGGGAAGGCGAGGGGCAGCGAGGGTCACATGGGTGGGAAGCGGAGGGGCAACAAGTGAGGTTAGGGTTGAACTAGAGAGCATAACCGCGAGAGTTATGAAAACCCTACATCAGAAATCGGGGGGTAGAAACAGAGTGAGAAACGGGCGACGATGACGGGGACCCAGGAAGGAAGGAGGAGAGAAGAGGCTATTAGCTCCATGAAATTCAACTCAAAGCGTCTCCTAGATCCGTCCGCAGGGTGTAGCTAGTGTGCGTTTTGAGCGGGAAATGCCCACGTGCGCGCGCGGAACGGGGGAGGCACACGTGCGCGTGGAGCGGGGGAGCGGGGAAGGCGGAACGACGCTGGCAAGTTCTGGGACGTCTCGAGGCACGGAGCAGTGGGGCGGAGCCTGAGGGGAAGCGCTGGTGTAGACGCGAGCAAATGAAAGCCGACGCCACGTGACCGAGACGCCAGTTTATTCTGAGAACAGGTCAGGTCCCTGCTGACCCTCGGTTTAGGGTTAGAGCCGACCATACGAGATGCGTCCCTGCGAACGCGTGGATTCTCGCGCAGCGCGTCGCTATTGCGTGACGCCGGTCACGCAAGGAGGATTATCGGACCACCGTGTCGACCCACGAGCGCGCCCCACGACAAGCTCATTCCCCCGCGCGTTCGCTCCACCCGCTTTTTCACCGTGCTTTTAGGCGCGCGGAACGAATTACCAGGCGCATGGATCCATCTCTGAATCAAACCGCGAGCCCTAGCGGTTGCTGTGCGCCTCACTCACCTCACGCCCCTCTTCTTCCGCTGCGGCTGCCGCGCCTCCCTCCGCGCCGCCTCTTCTCGGCGACGCGTCGACGGCCATGATCGAGTTAGACCGTAAGGATTAGCTGCAAGGGACTTTCAAGTCGTTCCTGAGACTCGAGATAAGTGGAAATTGGATTAGGCTGAATTTATTAGGTTGCTTCAGAGAATTGTCGGCAAGATGTGTGGTGTGGATGCGATGTAGCTAGCAGGGTTGATGTCAGGTCGACGCTGCTCAATATTGGGACGTTCGTTTGTAACACAACTCAATGCAGCTTCTAAATGCAATTCAAACCTAAATGCAATTCAAACCAGAAACTATCATCCTTGTTTTGTATGCAAGCCAAACCACAGATTTTCCCATCACCATTTTTAGATATGTTTCTGTTCGCTGGTATTGTAAAAAAAAATATTTCAATACAATTTTGAGACGTCATTTCCTACATCATTGTATGGTATACAAACAAAAACTGCATCCACTAAACATTGGTCCCATTCATGCACGTTATATCAAGAAGCATTACCAAGTCCTTGCTACTGGACAGCCACTTCACGAAACCCAGGAAAATATCAGAACAAAAATAGGGAAGAAAACAACTTCCGCTACCGCTTCTTAGCAGCCGGCCTTCACGGAGAGCTACTTCTCGGCGATTCCTGTTGCCGCGATCTGCTTAAGCGCCTCCAAGACCGCGTTGGTGGCCTTTGTGAGCACCTCGCTCACCTTCTTTACCGCTTCCTCCGCCTTGGTCACCGCTGCTCGCACGGCGCCTGGCTTCACCTCGTCCTTCTTTGGCTTCGGCGCCTCTTCCGTCTTCTTCTTATCGTCGGCCTTCTTCCCCTCGTCCTTCTTAGGTTCCGTCGCAGCAGCACGCGTCGCGGGAGGGTCCTTCTTGAAGTTCGCGTCCTTAGACTTGTAAGTCGTGGCGGCTTTCCAATCCGCGGCGGGGAGCACGTCTTTAAGAACGACCTGCTCCTTAGTGTCTCTCGCGGTTACGCGGAACGAAAGCGTTTTTTTCGCGCGCAGAAAAGCCTTTTCGCCCTTGATCTTCCACGTGGCCTTGACGTCAGATCTTTCCATCGCCTTCCACGTGGACCCGTCGTTCGACACCTCGACGCGCTCCACGCTTCCTGGGCCGGCCGTTCCCAAGATCTGCACCTTAAACTCGTCCTCGGTGGACTTATCGCGAACCCGCACGGCGATGCTCGTCGCGTTGCTGCACGGCGCGCGCTCGTATTTAAAATCCACAGGGTTCTTGTCCTTATCCTTGGCGATCTTGCTCCACGCCGTGTCAGAGATGATGATCCGCGAATTATTCTTCGAGATGCCCACCACGCGGACATTTACCTTCGCGTCCGCTACGCAGCGCGAGTTATTCACGCACGAGACGAAGTAGCACGCGCCGCATGCGGCTCCCTTGTCAAAAATCTCCGGCGGGAAGCGTGCGACCTTCCCTCCGTCGAAAAACTCGCTCTTGTCGAAGGGCGACCCGAAGAACTCGCATTTGCCGCCATCGGTGTTGATTTTGTTGCTGAGCCTACCCTGGTACTGCTTCCCGGCAGCTACCGGCGGCGCTTGGAGCATACGGCGGAAACTGGTGGCGCTGGCGCTAACAGCATGGATCAAGGTGAACGCGAGGATGGTGATAAGAAAGCGATTGATTCGGGCTTCTGGATGATCCATTTTGCGATGTAACGCGACAGAATTTGGGCTCAAGCAGTAAGAGCAGATGATATCATATAGGCTGAGGCTGAATGTGAAATGGTTTGCTCGACGACTGGATTGCTTGCCAAACTAGTACTAGTCTTGGCGCGAGGCAGCAACACTTGAAGAAGCCGAGGTCGGTTAGGGCCGCTAGTTGCGGTGCATGCGGAAAGGGGGTCAGCAGGTAAGCTTGGCTCGTGACCAGTCAATGATTGTGCGATGGGGAACGAGTCGCGTAGTTGTATCATGGAAGGATTCGTTGTGCAAGGGGAAAATGCTTAGTTCAGTTTCTTTGGTAGGTTGGTCGTGACGAGGGTTGAGATCTTGCATTGCGCACTCGCATGACAATTTTGGCGAGTCGTGGCCTGTCCTGTAATTGTGAGCTGAAACTGGTAGAATCTGCATTTCACTCTGATTGGTACCGCTTCGTACGGCGCTTGAGAAAGAAGGTGGTTGGATCGACGATGCTAATATATTTGCAATTATGTGTACTGCAATAGGAAAATATGCCGCTATAAAAAAACAAGGGCTTCAAGAATGTTTGTCCTGTTTGGCCCCTTGGCCTAAAGAATAGCGGGGTTGACCAAGTCGACGATAAAACGCGGCGGAAGACTTAGGCGAAAGAATTGTTAGCAAAAATAGTAGAAGAAGTGACTGAGTAGTGGTTGAATGAGAAATGGTTGATAATGGCATCTACAAGCAGCAATGTTGATATAGCGTACAAGAGCGAATCAGGGTTGTCGCTAGCAGAATTTTTTTGTATGCTTGTCCTATATTTGAAGGTAATGTTTTGATTTAATCTGATGGTTCGGAAATTTGCTATTGGTAAAATCTGTTCATTCAAAAATGAATTTCCTTTGTATCTGATCCATCAGACACGTTTTCCATGTTACTCTTATTAATCAGGAACACTTTCCGGTTTCGTCTGTTACCGGATCTTTCTTCCCTTCGCATTGATTGACGCGTGAACAAGGCGTAGTGTGGGTGTTTCCCCTAGATTACCGGAAAATATGCATCATACATTTCGTGGCCCCAGCTCCCACGTGTATCTTTCGCCACCACACCAAAAAAATTCTGCTGCAACATGCATATAGTCACGTTCTATGCTGTACTCACGTGATGTCTGCGTCACGACATGCCCATGCATTACCATTTCTGTCGTACGTGGCCTGTCACGAGTGAGGGACTGGTTAGTTTTGTACAACAGTGATCAATCCAACACCACAAACCCTCAAATTCGGCGCTTGCAGAAGGTTCAGGAAGCGCGCTACGGGATCACCACAGTCAAGTGGTGCCACCTACAGTTTTCTACATGTGAAATAACGAGAAATGATGGACTCGGAAATGAGTTGGGTACAAATATGTAACCCTAGGAAACTGTACCACATACTGTCTACACCACTACAGCCTAGAAAGACTATAGCATGAATGTTTGACACACCCCCATAGGCAAAGTGGGGGAGAACAAGGGGTCACAAGACCAGTCAAGCAAAGCACAACAAACTCAGGGTGGATCACAATGTCACCACACAATCCGAGCACAAGCTCAAAGCCACAAGGCCAGTTCACGTGCAAGATTATATATAAAGGTAAACATGCAAGTGCAGGTATAGATAGATCACAGTACAAGCAAGGTCAAGAAGTGAGCAAGGGAGGCCAAGTAGGCACAAGACCTAGCATCGTACAGAAGCGCTGTTGATCACAAGGCTGAAGTGCATTCGTAAAGATATCAGCAGTGTTGGCCCGAGAGGCCACGTAAGCCAGTCGCAGCTGACCCCGCTGCTGCACCTCACGAGCAAGGAAGTAGCGAAGAGCAATGTGCTTCGTTCTGTGCTCCAGTCTGTGCTCCCGACACAAGGCCAGCATGGCCTTGTTCTCTACGTACAGAACTGGAGGAGAACGAGGCGGCTCTCCTAGGTAAGTCAGCAGGTAGGTGAGCCAGCGTAACTCCTGTGCAGCCATGGCCCCTACGTAGATCTCAGTCTTACAGCTGGAGCCGAGAACAGAAAACGAGCGGGTAGACCGCCACGAAACAGAGCTGGAACCAAGGCTGAAGGTGTAACCCTGTGACGACCGTTGCGTAGCCTGGTCGTCAGCCCAAGAAGCATCTGCGTGACCAGTGAGGACCACTGGACTTCGCCCTCCAAGCACAAGCCCCATGCCCGACATACTGCACAAGTAGCGCAAAACCCTCTTCCCTGCAGCCATGTGCTTTGGTCGGTGTCTCCTAGGAGCAACATAGCGTGCCGAGATGCCAAGAGGGTATGCAAGGCCAGGTCGAGTGCAGATCAACAGGTACATGAGGCAGCAAAGAAGCTCTAGGTACGGGCCACTCGGCTCTACGGACTCATCCGAAGGCAGAACTGAGAGCGAGTGGCGAGTAGACAGAGGAGTGGCCTGAGGCGAGCAGTACGTGAATTCAAAGCGCTGAAGGACCTGCTGCACAATGTATGACCGAGTTAGAGTAATGGTGCGCCGTGCTCTGTCCCGGGTGATCTGCAAGCCAAGGTAGCTGCGCAGTTCACCCAAGTCTGAGCACGTGTGTCTCTTCTGCAGCTCGGACTTCATGTAGGCAAGTCGAGCAATGTCAGCAGTGGCAAAGACCAATTCGTCGACGTACACGAGGATGTAGAACGGCGGCAAAGAGGTGTCGGTGCGCAGAAACATGAGAAGAAACGAGAATGGATGCACTAAGGAATGAAAGTGGTACAAATATGCAACCCTAGAAATGTGTACCCCATATGGGCTACCCCACAAAAGCCTACACAACATTATAATTTGACACACCCCCATAGGCAAAGTGGGGGAGAACAAGGGGTCACAAGACCAGTCAAGCAAAGCAAAGCAAAGCTCAGGGTGGATCACAAAGTCACCACACATTCCGAGCACAAGTTCAAGGCCAGAAGGCCAGTTCTTATTCAGGAGCACATATATATATAAAAGGCTAAACAAGCAAGAGCAGGAGTATATATATATGTGACAGTACAAGCAAGGTCAAGAAGTGAGCAAGTGAGGCAAGACAGACACAAGACCAAGCTAAGTGCAGAAGCGCTAATGATCACAAGGCGCAAGTGCCTTAGTGAAGATATCAGCAGTGTTGGCCTCAGAGGCCACGTACACAAGTCGCAACTGACCACGCTGTTGCAGCTTATGAGCAAGAAAGTAGCGAAGAGCGATGTGCTTCGTTCTGTGCTCCAGGCGCTGCTCCCGACACAAGGCCAGCATGGCCTTGTTGTCCACGTACAGCACTGGAGGAGAACGAGGCGGCTCTCCAAGGTCAGTCAGCAGGTAGGTGAGCCAGCGAAGCTTCTGAGCAGCCATGGCACTGGCGTAGATCTCAGCCTCACAACTGGAGCCGAGAACAGAAGACGAGCAAGTAGCCCGCCACGAAACAGAGCCGGAACCAAGGCTGAAGGTGTAACCCTGTGACGACCGCTGTGTAGCCTGGTCGTCAGCCCACAAAGCGTCTGCGTGCCTAGTGAGGACCACTGGACTCTTTTCTCCAAGCACTAGCCCCATGCCCGACGTACTGCACAAGTAGCGCAACACCCTCTTCGCTGCAGCCATGTGCTCTGGTCGGTGTCTCCCAGGAGCAACATAGCGTTCAAGAATGCTAAGAGGGTATGCAAGGTCAGGTCGTGTGCAGGTCATCAGGTACATGAGGCAGCCAACAAGCTCTGGGTACGGGCCACTCGACTCTACGGACTCATCTGAAGGCAGAGCTGAGAGCGAGTGGTGAGTAGGCAGAGGAGTGGCCTGAGGCGAGGAGTACGTGAAGCCGAAGCGCTGAAGGACCTGCTGCACCATGTGTGACTGAGTTAGGGTAATGGTGCGGCGTGCTCTGTCCCGGGTGATCTGCAAGCCAAGGTAGCTGCGCAGTTCACCCAGGTCTGTGCACGTGTGTCTCTTCTACAGCTCGGACTTCACGTGGGCGAGTCCAGCAGTGTCAGTAGTGGCAAAGACCAAGTCGTCGACGTACACGAGGATGTAGAACGGCGGCAAAGAGGTGTCGGTGCGTAGAAACAGCGACGGGTCAGTAGTAGAGGGAGCAAACCCAAGAGCCGCAAGCGTAGTCCTCAGTGTGTCGTGCCACTCACGCGGTGCCTGGCGGAGACCGTAGACTGGCCGTCGGAGGCTCTACTGGGTGCCAAGAGGAAAAGTCCCAGTGAAGCCAGGTGGACGGCGCAGCCAGATCACCTCGTGCAGGCTACCCTGTAAGAAAGCAGTGCTGAAGTCAACGGAGTGAAGCTCGTAGTCACGCTGAGCGGCTATGTGCAGCAGCACCCGAAGAGTGGTCATCTTCGGGGTGGGAGAGAAGGTCTGAAAGTAGTCAACTCCCTGCCACTGACTGAAGCCACGAGCCACGTACCGCGCCTTGAAGAAAGGTGGAGAACCTGGCGGCCGCTTCACCCTGAAGATCCACATGCCACTGACGATGTTCGCCCCAGGTGGGGGAACCGCGTCAACGTAGGGGCGTGTGGACTTCCAGGAAGCCATCTCTGCATCCATAGCTGCTTGCCACTGAGAGGAGTAGGGACCCTCTACGGCCTGCGCATAAGAGCGCGGAGTCGGGATGTCAAGTGCATCCGGGTCTCCCTCAGGGGTAAGCAGTACAGACGCGAGATGAGGTGAAGCAGCAGCCAGACACTGGAACTCCTCCTGCCTGTCCTCAAGGACGTCCGTGCCAAGAGCACACTCACCCCCGACGGACGGAGGACAGAGAGAGGCAGACTCAGCAACAAGACTAGCAGCATAGTCTAGACGACAACGAGCTGCAAAGTCGACGAGCTCAGCAACAAGAGTAGACGCAGCAGTGGACTCAAAGGAGGGGTTAGTGACGACAGTAGCAAGGAGACGCGTGACAGTAGGACTGGCAGCAC